AGTGAGTAAATAAACATATAAAAATTTTAAAAATAGTATAGTTTATCACTATATCTATGTCTAGGTATTACATATACAGTAGTTTTTCTTTCTGTCTTTTTCCATTTTATTTCGTTTTCAAAAATGTATTTAGCCTACGTACATAAATGGATAGAAGATTGTGCTTTAAACTACATCATTCACAAATATAAGGAAATAGTTAGAAGTTGTAAAGCTAATATGTTTTATTTGATTTCTGGTTGGTTCCACACTGGTGTTAGACGAGTTACTCCACGTATTTGTCACCGTTGAAGCTTGCTTCATAGTTGAGCATATCATAAATTTTGGTAAATATTCAATGTGCACAAGTAGAACAAATATTGTTCACTTCGGTGTAGTGTTGATTAGATCAAGTTCATTGATCATGTTCAAATCCTGTGTATCTCTGGGCTTTTTATCTACACGTTCCACCACCTGTTGAAAGGGTCATGTTAAAAATGTTCACTATGATTGTGAATCTGATATTTTTCCTTTTTCTATAGTTTTTGGTTTATATATTTTGATGTTAGGTTACTTGGTTCACAAATTTTTCAAATTGCCATATTTTTCTAATGGGTTGATCTTTGAACATTTATTAATGCTTCTTGCCTTAAATTCCTCTTGCCTGATACTAATATAGCTACCACAGTTTTTTTGGTAAACCTTGGCATAACTTTTGCCCTGGTGAAAGGATAAACAAATTGTAGTATAATCATGCAATGACCTAGTCCCCCAAATAAAAGGGAATGAACTATTGAAATACAACATAACATACATGGACCTCAAAATAATTCTGTTGGATGAAAGGCCTCCAAAAGGGAGAATATTTGTATTATTCCATTTATATAAAATTATAGAAAATGGAAATTGATCTACAGTGACAGAAAGCAAATGAATGGATGTATTCGTGTGAGAAAGCTTATACAATTGTACATTTTAAAAGCATGCAGTTTTGTCTGAGCATGGTGGTACATGACTGTAATCCTAGCCCTCTGGGAGGCTGAGGCAGGAAGATCACAAGTTTGAGCCCACTATGGTCAACTTTGTGATTTAGCCAGACCCTGAAAAAATTGATTTAGCTCAGTTGTTCTACCACCAGACTCACAAGGACCCAAGTTCGATCTCCGGTACCAAGGGGGGTAAAAAAATATGTGTGTGTGTGTGTGTGTGTGTGTGTGTGTGTGTGTTTTATGTATATATATATATATCTTTATATATTTATATTTATATATGTATATATTTATATATTTTACACATTTAAGAACTGGGCATGTAGTTCAGTTTGAAGGCCCTACATTCAATCCCCAGTACCACAAAAGTGCAGTGTGTTTCCTGTTGATTATACCCCGTAACTCATTTCAAAAGAAAATGTATTTCTTCTAACTAGCACATTGGTTTTTAAAAAGTTGTTTGACAATCTGGTCTTTCCATGGAAGGATGTAATGTTTTACATTTAACATAGTCGCTGGTATATTTGGGTTTAGATATACAGACATACTGTGTTTTCTTTTTCTATTTTTCTCACCTGCCTCTTGCTTCCATAGGTATTACAACAGTGCATGCTTGACTTGCTAGGTATCTAATAGTACTTAGTACTTTTACTGTTTCCCAGACAATACAGGGCTTTAAAATGCTTGGCTTTTGGGCAGTGGAGTAGCTCAGTGGTACCGCACCTGCTTCGTAGGCGCATATGTGGGGTGCTTGTGGGGCAAAAACAACGAAAAATGACTTTCATTTACTTCTTCCGTCTTTCGTGTTATCATCAATATGTGTTTTCTTTCTTTTTTTTTTTTCCTTTATTTTTGGGGGGTACTGGGGATTGAACTCAGGACATTGCACTTGTGAGGCAGGTGTGGTGCCACTGAGGTAAATCCCCACCTATTGATGTGTATTTTAAATGTACTTATATTTGAAACTCCACCTTGTAGTATTATATTTCTGCTGTATAGTCATTATCATTCAGGTTTATCTTTTTAAAAAATTAATTTTATGGGTACATTTAAGGTATAAAATATAATGGCACTCATCATTGGACATTTGTACCTTTACATAATGTATCTTGGTTCTTATTTTGCCCCCATTCATCTGCCATACCTTCAACCCCTCTACCCCTCCCTATTTACAAAGCGTTTGTCTCCATTTTTTTCCTTTTCTCGTATTAATTTCATTCCCTTCTTTTCTTTCCCCAACCCTCCTACTCCCCCTTCCCATTTGGACCTTTTCTATTTCAAATTATCTATTACACGTTTTGGCCCTTATTTCCACTTTCAGTGTCTCACACCAGTGAAACTATTTGGTATTTACACATGTCTGTCCTCTTTATTTCACTTATCACCCCAGTGTGTATCCATTTAGCTATGAATGTCTCTAAAGTTCACCTTTTGATGCACTCCCTGGCTTTTGGTATTTCCAGTCATCTATCTGGGAAGGTTTCCCTTCTGCCTGAAAAACTCTCTTTACTACTTGTTTTCATGACTCTGATGGTAATAAATTTTCTCTATTTTTGTTTATCTGACCGAGTATTTGTTTCTTCCTTACTTATGGAGGATATTTTCATTGGGTAGAAAACTCTAGGTTGGTAGTTGTTTTCTTTCAAGGCTTTGAAAATGTTGCATTGGCTTTTGGATTTCACTTTTTGACTGAAAAGTCAGTTGCTGGTATTATTAGTCCACTTTGAAGTAGATGTGTCTTTTCCCTAAATGTTTTCAAATTCTTTCTCTTTGATTTTCAGCAATTTTATCCTATTATGTGTAGGCTTGATTTCCTCATTTTTTATTCTGATAGGGGAATACAGAGCTTTCTGAATCCAGTCAACTTTGTTCTGTAAATGTTACTTCTGCTCCTGTTTTGCCTCACTTCCTCCTTTGAAACCTTGTTTACCTGTGTTAAACCTGCATCTTCATGCCTGAGCCTGCATGTCTGAAAAAAACCCTTGTACTGTATATTAAAACAGGTACGAATGAAAAGCACCCGAACTTTATACAGGTGCCCTTTTAGGTGATTATGCAGCCGCATCGGTAGGTGGTGATTGTACCAGGAGAGAACTAAATTGTAAGATGATACATGAGGGTTGAGGAGAGGAAATGCCCTAAAGATTCTGCAAACACTGAGTGATGCTACTCTGGGCTTACAGTTGGGACCTTCCGACTCTTAAGCCATCTAAAGAAGACCTTTCTCCTCAGAGGGATTTTCCAAGTGAGAGGGATTTGGGACTCTCCTATACGGAAGAAGCTAAGGTTCCATGGCTTGTTAGTTAAGAGGAACACTGTAGTTATGCTTCCACCTGTTGTATCAGCTTCACCGAAGCTATACATTTATGGGATGTTTGTATAAGAAGAGATGGAAAATATGAGACTCTCCAAACCCAAAGTAATCTGTTATGAGGCTTTTGACTGAAGAACTTTGAGGACTTCCTTTCAGACTTCATTGCTCAGACCATGTACATGTGTGTGTGTGTGTGTGTGTGTGTGTGTGTGTGTGTGTATATGTAATTTGATGCAACATTCACTTTGTAGCTTTTTAAATTTAAAAGTGCCTGAAAGTCTCTGAGAGTACATCTCAGGAAAAGCTTTTCACGTGATCAATTCCAGAAGCCATTCTCTCTGCCCTACACTGTGGCATAGCCCTTTGATATTTACATCGCCCAGAGCCAATCACTTCTAATTCTTAAACAGTGGCTGTTTTGTGAGATGTAATTATACCTGCTATATGCTTGTGAGTGCTTCCATCTGTATACGACCTGTAACGATCTATTATTATTAGCAGCTTTGTACTTTATACTCTGTATTTCTTGAATGTTTTACAATGAGTTGTTAGTTAACAAAAAGAAGTTATACATTTGCTTTAGCCTTCCATTTGGTACTGTTGTTTAAAATTTGTTAGATTTAGAAAACCTCAAGTGTCCTTCGGACCTCTTTAGATAATTATAGACAGGTTGGGCCTTGAGTCAGTTTTATCCTTCCAGACCTTTTGGCTGCTGGGCATACACCAATATGTAGTGTAACAATTTTCTTTCGGGCATGGAAGCTGGAGAGGGGTCTTGAGGGCCATGTGATTCCTAGCATAGCTGCTGGTGTAGATTGAGGTTCAGATTGTTGCACTTGGGGATTCTCATATATCTTTCTCAGTTAGATCTATAGAGGTGCCCATGAGATCACATAGTCCAGAACCTTCAGTTTAAATGCAGTAAGACTAAGATCCCAGCCTAGTTAACTGCTTGAACTCAAGCAGCTGGCAAATGTCAAACATCAAAACTCCTCTTTGCTCTCACTACGTGCATTGTCTAGAAACAGGGAGCGTCATGGTTAAAACACTTCAGTTGGAATGAGGAATCCTGATGGCTAGATGTCATTAATTTTTTAAACATGTTTGAAATGCATTGTTTTCTTTCCACCAGGCCTCCTCCTACTAATTCTTCCAAAATCTGCTTCAAAAATTTCCTCACCCCCGAAGCTTTGTAAGAATTCTTAGGTTGAATTAGTAACTTCCCCCTGCTTGCTCACAAGGAAATATGCACACATCACCCACAAGCTGAAATTTTATTGATCTTTCTTCTTGCCTTTCCACGGTCTTTAATTCTATACTGGGCTGAAACTTTGTGCACAGGTCTGCAGCTGTGCTAGACTGAGGATGCCCTGAAGTCAAAGGATAATCTGATCTACATTTTTATCTGTAATGGCTAGTAAATTATTGTTTCTAGTGTTTCTACCTAGGAATCTTTCTTTTAAAAAGCCAGTTGCATTGCTTCAGTGTCACATCCTGTGAATTATCAACATCAAGCTGATTAAAAAAAAAAAAAATCACTGCCAGCCACATGCCTGTAATCCCAGCACTCAGATCCCTTTAAATTTAAGGCCAGCCTGGGCTACATGGTGAGACCCCAAATCAAAAAGCAAACAAACAACAACTAAAAAAAAAGAGAGAGAGAGAAAGAAAAAGGAAGACAACCACTGCCTTGGAGAGCATGGTTTGATTTCATTTTTACCATTTTCATAGGCCACATGGATCCGATGTATGCTGTGTCTGTATCCCAGAAAGATAAGTCAGGGTATTCACCAGGTTCCAGGATGTAAGGGACACCTTGAAATCCAGGCTCCTCATATATCAGCCATCTTAAGTAAACACCAAGGAAGGAAGGAAACAGACAATTAGTCACTTACTTCTTTTAGCTTTTCCACCTTTCTGGTACCCAGGACCCACTGACAAGAGACAATGTGGCCAACATGATAAGCATCATGTTGTCATCCTAAGGCAGAGAAGCAAGGTGTGCTGGCCTCCTCTTTTGACCTTTTTGCTTTTCTCCTTTGCTGGCTTTGCTCACTCATTTTAATTCATATTATTCATTTCTTATAATTGTAAACATCTGTTATTTCCAATAAATAGAAAACTAGTTTTTTTGCACTGTTTTTATTTGGAGAGGCTCCAATTGGAAGACCTCAAGGATTGTTTTAAAAGATAGCAATTTGTAACCAGTAATTAAGAGTGTTCTAACTAATCATTTTCCATGATGTCAGGAATTATTGTGTGTGTGCATGTGTGTGTGTGTGTGTGTGTGTGTGTTCCAGTACCTGGACTTGAACTCAACCTTGTGCTTTCCAGGCAGGCACAGCACCACTGGGCTACATCCCCGGCCCAATGTCAGGAATTATTAACAGTGCTGATCTACCTAGAGCTGACACGGAACATGGCCCAGAACTTCCTATAAGCCTCATAGCAGTGCTATGAGGAAGCAGTAGTATGTTTTCCTTTTACAGATGAGGTTAAATAAATTGCCACAGGCCACACAGCTCTAGGGACCAAAGGCAAGGCTGATCCAAAATGACTCCAGAACCAAGGCTCCTAGTCATTTTTTTATGGTCCTTTTTTTTATTATGGGGAGTTCACCAAACACAATTTCCTCTTTTCACATTTACTTAGGATTATCACTGAGCATTATCACTTAATGCACACTGGTGTGGAGTTGGGTGCTTGTTCCCAGGCTGTAGAGCTTTTTGGTTTTTGGTTCTGATTTTAATGGCTTTGCAATATCACAGCAAGGCTTGTCAGCTGCCACTTCTGCTTTAGTGCAGGAACCAGCAGCCCCACCCTTCTATACTGTGTCTCAACCAGGAAACCAAAAAATCAAGCCTGTTAGAGTGACTCTAAAGACTGCAACGTCTTACAAATTCTTCATTCCCTGGAGGGCTCTGGGAAGGTGGGGTCACTGGAGAAGTGACTTTTATATAAGAGAGGTGTTAATGCATACCCTTCATAAACAAATATAGATTCCTGGTGATCAGTGCACTGTCCAATTCTTTCTCAGTATGGCTAAAATGCCTAGTTCTGACACTTTACTATGTCATGTTCCCTAGACATGGTACCATAAGGAGGATAGCTCTTAAAGAATTTTTTAAAGTAGTACTGGAGATTAACTCAGGGCCTCTGCACTGATCTACATGCCTAGCCTTTTTCATAAATTTTTAAACAGTCTCCTTAAGTAGCTAAATTGCCCAGGGTAGGCTTGAACTTGTAATCTTCCTGCCACAGACTCCAAGAATGCTAGGATTACACAGGCATACACCATCATGCTTGGCTCCTAAATCAAATCATTTAGCAGTAAAATGGGTTCGACGCTCCCCTCTTCACTTTTATTCCCAATTTTGGCCCGAGGCACTTTTATAGGTGTTTTTGTTAGAGATTTTCCAGGACAAATCAGTAACTTCTTACTGCTCACCAATTACACAGGGATTTATAACCACAATCTGCTCTAGAATTATACAAACACACCCCAAAGAATGTGGGAGAATGGGCGTGATATGCAGGTGGAGGATCAAAGCTAATCTGCAGTGTTAGAAGTCAGGACAACAGTAACCTGGCAAAAGGAGGTGAGCAGATTTGGGAGGAGGCAGGAATGAGGCTGGAATGAGGAATGATGGTCCCACCTGCGTATTCACTGATCTTATGCTTTTAAAATTTGTTGTGTTCCTTTTTGCACAAATATTATACTTCAAAATAATTAACTGACAGAAAAAAAAGAGGTCTGGCTTTTAAATACCTCTCTAATGCCCCTAAACCACAAGCAAACAGGGACTTAGAAGGAGGTTCTTTACACTTGTTTGTAAAGCGTGACAGCCAAGGATGCATTACACATCTTGGGGGCTCACAACAGTCAGCAGCACACTACATGTAGCTTTTGCGCCCTAAGCAAGGGCAGTTTTGGAGTAAATTCTATTACTAGGTTAACAAGTGAAAACCCTCAGAGGCTAACTCCTTCACAAGTAAATGGGCTTAATTTTTCATAAACAGGATGTATGGCTCACGAATAAGCGATTCTGGGATTTTGAAATAATGCTTACTGACCTTTTCAGTCAGTCTCTCCTTTTACAGTCTGGATTCTGAAGGGATTTATTCACCTGAAACTAAAATTTCACTTTCCTTGAAATGTGTAGGCTAGTCTCATAACATTTATAGGAGGAAGGCAAGGCAAGTAGAGGGGACACTGTTAAGAAACTGAACACATAAACTGATATGTTTGAAAAGACTGTGTTCTGAGAGTATTTCCTATAGCAAGTGCATGCTGGGAGCCTGCTGAGTCACTCGGACAACCATTATGAATGCTGGCTGCACTCATACACAAAGCATGACTCACTTTTTCCTAAATTCTGTTCCAAAATAATACAGTATTCAGGAGGTTATCAAGAGATGGGGAAATTATCTTCAGGCAATGTTAATTAGGCGTCTAAAGGTGCTCTTTCTTTTCCTTTGCACTTAGGTGATGAGCTTTTGCCAATATACATTAAAAAGTACTCCTAGACCACAAAGTATGACTATAATAAACTATACAAATATAAAACATGAGCTTATTTTAACAAACAAATGTATACAAATGTATTCACGACAAATGCATATGAACACTGCTGAAGTAATAACAATGGCCACCTATATAAACAGTAATACCTTGGCTCTCCAACGCTTCTGTTCATAATGACTTTCAGACACAAAAGCATTCAGCAAAATTTTGCTTCCATTCTCAAAGTCTGCACCAGGTAACCAACATGACCATGGCCATTTTCCCCACACAAGCACAAACGCAGTCATCTTCCCCCAAATTGTAAAACACATTAAGTTTGTAAACTGAAGTACCACTGTATTTAAAACATGTGTGTAATAATTCTTTTAGAAATAACCTTTCAATCACATAAATCAGTCTTATCCACTTTTTCTTAAGCAATTACAACTCTCACAAGGAAGTAAAGCTAAAATTAATATTATTTCCAGTTGGATCCTAAGACATGCTTATTTGAAATATTAAATATGAATGTGCCAACTCTGAGTTCTTCAAAGGAGGGTGGCTGTGAATATCAAAGCGGAAAAGGAACTCTTACAATGGCAGCAGATGTGGGAGGCACCACTTTTACCAAGCAAGCAAATGTGTTGTCACTAAGGGGAAGCTAATTAGTGCATGCCACTTGATGGGATGCATCAGAAATTCATGGTATTACGCCTGCCCAAACCGTTCAGCCCAAATCTAACCACACATTTAGAAAATGCAGGCAACAGAGGAACAAATGAAATGACATCATGAAGAAACAGACAAATCCAGAATGTGGGACACTGTGTAAGACAGCTAGCATAAGTTCCTAACAAGTCAGTGGCATAGGAAACAAAGAGATGGGGTTCTTCCAAGATTAAAGAGACAGAGACAGAGCGAGGCGTGGTGGTGCATGCCTGAATCCTAGCACTCTGGAAGCTGAGGCAGGAGACCTCAGCTGAGTTTGAGACCGGCCTGGACTACATAGTGAGTTCCAGGTCAGTCTCAACTACATAGTGAGACCCTGTTTCAAAACAAACAAACAAAAAGCATAAAAAAGAGACAGAGATAGAACAACCAAATGCATCCAAATGAATCTTGACTGTATTCTGATTTGTTAAAAAAAAGATTTATACAAGATTTATACTCCTGAGACAATTTGGACCACAGATTATATATCACAGACATACTGTACTAGTTTTCTTAGATATAAGGTGTGATTAAGAAATATAATGGAAATAAATAAATACATACATAAATACATAATAAAAATTTTAAAAGAAATATGATGGGGCCAGGGATTTAGCTCAGTGGTGCTGCCACCTGCCTCGCAAGCACAAGGTCCTGAGTATGATCCCTGGTACAAAAAGAAAAAGAAAAGAAATATGAAAAATGTCTGAAATTTTAAAAAAGCGTTACCATAAAAGGTATGCTGCCATTAATCTCCCTCAAAACACTATACCCCTCATTTCAAACACATGTATCCTATAGTTCTTGCCATTTCTTGAAGCAGTTCTGGAAGTCCTCTTTTGTGAGTCTTTAGTTGATCTGTCATGGCTGCCTCAATATCCTGAATAAACTCAAAATGTTTACCTTTCGTGGTCATTTTTATTTTAGATAAGAGCCAGAAGTTGCATGGTGCCAGACCCTGTAAATAAGGTGGATGAGGACACTTTTTTTTTTTTTTGAGACAAGTTCTCAAAAAAGGCTGGCCTTGAACTCACAGCATCTTCCTACCTCTGCCTCCTGAATGCTGGAATTACCTCCTAAGCATGCCACCCTACCTGGACTACCATAACATTTTTATGAGCCTGCCTTTCAAGTTCCTGCACTCACTGTATTTTTGATCACTCTTCATAAATATACTCATGAAATAGGACTCCCAGCATTGCTTAAAAAAGTGGCAAGAATGAAGCCAGGTGTGGTGGCACACACCTGTAATCCTAGCACTCAGGCTTAGGCAGGAGCATCACTGTAAGTTCAAAGCCAGCCTGGGCCACAGAGTAAGACCTTGTCTCAAAACAAACAAACAAAACTCAACAACAATCCTAAGAACAATGGGATGTGGGCCTGTGGGGTTTGTTTCATACTCAGGCTCTGTAAACTCACATACACATATTCTTCTGTATACATCAACCATTATGTAATAAAAATGATCACTGTTGGCCAGTATAAAAACTAACCTTGGCCAAGAGCGGTGGCACATGCCTGTAATCCCAGCACTCAGGAGGCTGAGGCAGGAGGATCATCATGAGTTTGAGGCCAGCATGGACTACATAGTGAATTCAAGGCCAGCCTGAACTACAGAGTGAGACCCAGTCT